TGCATACACTCTGCCCGAAGAGGTAGACTACTGTGTCGAAGGTTCTGAAACATATGGTACCATCTTTGCTTGTGGTAACTCCTGGATAGCATGCACCTTACCCTCGATCCTCAGAACTGACGGTGGTGCCTCAAGTCTCTATTGCTGCCCATGCCCACGACCCTATTGCTAACCCATACCTCTGCCCTGCTAGCCTACAATTGGTGCTTTATAGTAATCTTTTGCCCTATGACCGATCTTGTTGCAGTTATAGCAAGCACCCTGAATCCTCCGCTGTTGCGATACTCTCTGATCCTGCTATGGTCCCTTCTGACGATAACACTGCTGCTGTTGCTGTTGAGAATCCTTGCTCTACTATTGGGGTCCTCTGGGCCTTGAAAATGACCTCTTGCCCTTGCCCTTATCCTCGGACTAACCCACTTTAGAACTTCCCTCATTGCTCATTTAGAACATGGCGATCTCAGTCTCCTGAGAATGATGGCGTCGGTTACCTCTCACACTGAGTGGAAACATCGAGATACAAGATAGAGACGTAGGCTTGGGTGAAGTCCCATCAAAAACATTTGGGCTTGACGCTCCCTTATCTACCACATGCCTGTGAACTTGAGTAAACTCATGAATTTGCTCTCATAATCTGCCACTCACATGTCTCCCTGCTCTAGTTTGGATAGCTCTGCCTCTTTCCCGGCTTTTGTCATAGAGGATATATACTGTTCGTCAAAGAAATAGATAAAATCCTCCTAACTGAGTGTCATCTGCTGTGCTAGTGTAAATTGGAGTCTATACCATCCTCTAACGTCTCCCTTGAGGCTGAATGCTGCCAATCTCTGTTTCTGAACTGGGTTGACATCAAGCAAATCTAGGATGTTCCCCACATCCTTCTTCCACTTATAGGTAGTAAATGTCTCTTATGAACCCTGAAACTCTAGGGCCCTCAATTTTTGATACCTCTCAACCAGACGGAGCCAAGCCTCCTACTCTGCGGATCTGTCAATAGCTAATGGTGGTGTAACCATTGGTGATGCCCATGCAATATGCAGAGGTGTTGTTGGTGGCGGCACCATGGGAAGTGGAACCACAGGTGGAACTGGATCCACCACTCGCTCCTTGAGCACTGCTAGTCAGGCTACAATCGGCTCCAGGAGGTCAATCAATATTATGGAGTCTGCTACGGCTCGGACTCTTGCTTAGCTTACCCTGCTCCCTGGGTACGAGTTCTACCTTGACCACGTCCTCGTCCTGACATCTATGAGTTCAGGAGAAGAACTTATTAGACACAGTAAATGAGACCACAAACGATAATAACATAGCATATAGCAATAGGAAAGCATAAAACATAGTATATTCGAAAATACTTGGTAATCAAAGTAAGATAAGCATAAAAAATTCTTGAAATTTTTTGAGTTATGCTTATTACGGCCTCACTCAATCTAGGATTCCCTAACGAACTCTATACATGAGCCCTAGGAAACTCTACACTGGCTCCACGACCCGACATAAGATACCTTATGGATATTGGAACTAGAGCTCCGATACCAACTGTGACGTCCCTGGTTTCACACATGGCTGCAGTCCAAGGTGAATCCAAAGATGTCAAACCTACCATGTACCCAACACTTTGCATAAACATGTTTCACTATCACCATTGATATCGGTCTAGCAGATGTTAAATGCAAAGAAATGTGGGTATAAGCAGATATAACAAAGATGAGATTACAAGGAACATAATGTAAAGAAGAGATATCCAATAGTAACTATAATTATGTCCCAACAGAAGAAAAGAAAATACATCTAATAAACCAAAATAAGAACAATGAGTGTATAACACATAAGAGTCAACTGAACAATACATAGGCACTTAGCCTCCAAAATGAAATACATCCCTAAAAGATTTAAAATCATAAATAGTTTGTTGTGGAGTACCAACTACCTACCTATAAATAACAGTAAACTATACTGAGTCTCCGTCAACCTGCGGCTCCCCGAACTTCTGACCCGCTACATGAAAAAGATGGAAACAACAAGTGTCAGAGCTCTAGCAAGAACATCTCCACCGCCCCCAGGGGGAAGGGGTATAGCATATAAAATATTACACATAGCATATATATAAATCATATACCCTGTACTAAGAGGAGTTAAGATTTAGAAATCCACAACACGGGATGAGTACATCGAGCGAATAATCCAAATAGGGAAACCCTCATATATATACCATATATCTCAAATTATGAATCGCTAAATATCAACTCCAATTCCTATAAATAAGCTACAAATAATTACATCACCAAACCTTAACCTAAACATGACAAGCATGTCGAATCACAGTATCTGACCCTACCCTCGAGTAGGTCGCACGGGAACAAATACATCATTCAGTGTAATCCTTACCAAAAATATGCATCGTCGCAAAATATACCTCAATATTAGACTACGTCCATAATCAGTACCCACCTGAGACCTAGGCGATCAAATATTACAGAGTGTTGTCACTCACAAAATCTCGTAGCTCATCACATCATCATGCGGGACGGACTACCCACTAGGGCATCCTATATATTATAGGCGCATCGGCCTCATCACATCACTATACAGGATGGACTACCCATTAGGGCATCATACAGGTACGACGCACCAGCCTCATCACATCATCGTGCGGGACAGACTACCTACTCAGGCATCATACGAAGAATGGGTGCATCGGCCTACTCCAGTGTGGTGTACCGACGTACTACCCTAGGTAATACTAAGCTATGCCCATCAATGGTACCCATGCAAACATATGTAATTATTTATCCTTGTATTTAAATGGGGGATGGTGTTTTAACTAGGGCGAGGAATATCAGCCCGAAGACCTTCAAACCTCATTTATTTGTGTTGCCAGCAAAGAGCTATATAAATTTTCACCACCAAGTTCAAGTAAAATGTAATTCAAAGGATTCACCTATTTATCCTTGTATTTAAATAAAAAACATAAGCATCACCCCACTAAAAGAATCCCTTATGCACGACCAGATTACAAAACCCAAAGGCCTAAGGCACTATTCTGAAATCAAACTGTCAAATTCCAAATAGTTAGGAGGCTTTTGCAAATGGAATTGATATTCCTTGATCTCCAGCACTGTTGGGTAGTATGGGTGGAACTAACATATCTTCACAGTAAGGTATCAATATTTGTCTAAGGTGTAAATATTGGGATAACCCACTGGAAATCACACATACAAGCATTATCAGTTCACAATTTGCAAACTCTGCTTTCAAATGGGTTAGGCTAACGAATAGGTCCACGGCCCATGACCCCCAGGTCACCGGTGACTCACACCCTGAAGACTAACCTGAGACTTTTAGTCACTAGTGACTCGACTTGGAGTCACCGGTGACTCACACGCTAACCGCAAGAATGAGGAAAATTTTAGAGATGGCGTGCACGCGCGTGCACGCGTTGTTCTCCCAACTCGATCACCAAGTGTACGAGTCCTTGCACATTCCATGTGAAACCACGCACGAGGGCAAATCGTTTGCATCGCCAAAACATCGATTTATCGAAACTTACAAAATAATCAACATGGGGTTTAATCCAATAAAAAATCAAAGAAAAGGGGATGTGTTTGGAGAAGATGATCTTGCCTTAAGAAGAGGTTCTGATCTCTCAAACGTGAGAGGAACTTGATCCACCTTCACAAAAGTCGTAGTCATACTCCCGCCTCCTTCACAAACGCAAGAGGAACTCGCTGCTCTTTTGTTTTTTTTTTGCTAAAGGTGTGCAGCAGAAATAGAGACGGGGGGAGAAGAAGAATATGTTGATGGAAAGAAAAGGAAGAGCTGGGTAGGGTTTCGGTATATTTACGAGTCCTTTTTGCTATTAGAACCTTCTAACAAAATTTGTATAAAAGTCCCTTTTACTTTACCTTATATATGTATAACCATTTTAGGGTTTATAGGTGGGTTGTGGCTGTTTAACGTGAGAGGGGAGAGAGAAAAAGGGGTAGTATATATTAGTATCAATATATATATATATTATATATAAGTTATTAAAAAATATGTCAATTTATCTGCGTCAAAAATAAGGTTTCAGTCTCCATCGTCAGAACGCAATGAAACTTTACCCACAGCACGGTCTTGACATTCAAAGATCAATGGCACAAACCTCGTGCCCATCTGATCAATAAAAAATTCTAAAAATGAAATAGTGATAGTTTTTAGCAGACTCACAATACCGATGCTGAAATTGCGAATCGATCTCAAATCGATTCCAAACTAATCTATTCATCCTAAAATGATCACCACTCACAATAAAACTCATTTATTATTATTTACAATAATATTTTCAAAAATTTTGGGGTTTTACAGCAAAACAATAAACAAAATATGAAAAATATGTAAAATAAATGAACTAAATTGAACTTACCAACAATTGACAACCCGTCCTATTGTGGCCTAATTTTGACAATGACCACATTTTCATTGTCTCACCTCTTTTTGCCTTTCTGATTCTTCAAAGTCACTTTTAGTCCTAGTTGAATTTTGTGGACGTCCCTTTGGTTTCACAAGACTAAGAGGATCGTGAACCATAATTTGCTCACCATCTTTAAATACAATCACATGAGTATTTGAATCTACGTGGCTTTCAACTTGAGAATCTAGAGCTTGTGTCATATTGTGCCTTGCTTCTATAAGGAAGTTTGCTAATTGTTGCTCCAACTTAGAAAGAAGATTCTTCAAGCCCACTGTCATGTCAAGTGCTTTATTAAAATTTCCTCATAAAGCCCATAATCTTCTTATACTTCTCTGCTCCATGCTATCTTCATTTTGTTACAACTTCATAACATTAACAAAGCCTAAATATCTATACCTTGCGTCAACTTTTCATCTAGATAAGATATACCTATCAGGAATAGAAGTCACTTGGTTTAATATATTTAAAATATGCTTACAAAGCACCCATTCGGTTTCCCAAAATGAACAAGTGCATATAACGTTAAGCTCAACATTTATTTCATAGGTTACTTCTTCCTAATTCTTTTTGTTTCAAAATATTTGCCAACCAAATATACAACTTTCAGCTCCTCCTTTGACACTTCTTCACGATGTAATGACATCACATCACCAAGATCCTTTTGGAACATCTTTAAGATCACCCTAGTGTATGCTTTTCCAAATTGCTCTTCAATCGGATTTGAGAAGGTCATCACAGGCACAGTGTTCAAAGTCATGAAGTCTTCATGAGATTTTGATGCACAACGAGATGCCATTGTATTGTCATATTGACCCACGAACTCAACTAATCTAGTGTTTTCATTTACAGAGCTATCTAAAAAGGCATTGATGCTCTCACTCCTTTCGCTTGTTGTCATTCTTACCCAAAAATAGTACTTCAAGTATGCATCTACCAAAGTTCACACAAATACATTCTTGTTAGCCAACTATCTTCATCTTCATTTATGTTGAATTTAACCTTCATGACTTCCCAAAGCTCCTCGCATTTGCTTATACATCTAGCATAATACCAATTGTTGAAATATGTAGGCATCTTATCCCCATATTGGCTCTTCAACTTTACTTGTTGCTCGACAATATGCTTTCTAACATGCCAAGAACAAAAGCGATGATGAGTATTTTACAAAATTCTCTTAATAGCTTTTTTTGTCTGTGCATCCTGATCAGTTATGATAGCCTTTGGTGCAACCAAATGCATATACTTGAGCTATTGCGGAAACAACCACATGAACTTTTCCTCTCGTTCGTCTGCAAGCAATACACAATAGAAGAGGGTGGATTGGCGGTGGTGGTTTACTCCTGTAAATGGAGCAAATTGCATACTCAAGTGATTAGTCTTGTATATGGTATCAAACACAACCACATCTTCAAGACTTAAGTAAGAAGCTAGCTTTACCCTCGGCCCAAAACACACTTCTCAATGTACCAAAGTGATCGACCTCCATAGCAAAATAGAAATCTGGATCTGATTCCTTTCTATCTTGAAAATATCTAATAATATTTAAGCATTCACAACCAATGTTACTTTGCTTTGTCTTTCTGATATGATCAATCATCTATTGTGTGGTGACTTGTTCATCATCTTGTCCCTGATATCCAACATTAAGAACCTTTTTAATATTAGTTGGTTTCATTTCCTCTTCAACAACTCAATGAGGCTAATGCAAGGCGTCGATTGATGTCACTGCTTCTAAGAATGATGATGATTTACTTTATTGGGGCTTGCTAAAGTCTAAACATGCTCAGAAATGAACTTAGTAATTGTCCAAGTTTTTGAAGAAGTGAGCATGATCTTTGTTTTTGCACCATAACCAACTTTAGTTTCCAGACGACGATTGATAATCAATCCACTTGCATTTTCAGTTGATGCTCTCTTTCTTCCTGCTTTATCGCAAACAAAAGTCCTTGAAAGATTATCCCCTAATGCTTTCTTTGATTTTTCAAAAGTATCTTTGCGAATTCCAAACCCAATCTTCTTTGCATATGCATAATAGTATTTGTATGCATCGTTGTCCATTTGAACTCCTTCCCTTCAAATGCAATAACATCATCACTAATTTGACCATCCTCCATTGGACAATTCTGTAATATTAAAATATCATATAAATTTGTTAGACATAAATATAAAAATAAATGCAAATATGTCCTACAAGTTTACTTACATACACAAAATATTCGCAATTCTCTAATATTTGCTTACGTATACTATTCCAACATAAAATCTAACTAATATTTGCCGACATGCTTACATAACCCTTGTGAAATGCACATTAAGGAGATAACAATGAACCTAGAAGAATTTGAGAATATAGAATAATGATGAATTCATAAAATTGTTCACAATAATTTCAATGTTTAAAATTATGTAATTCTAAGAACTTCTAGTAGCTATGACGGATAAGCTCTACAACAAATGGCCAAATCCAGTCAAAATCCAACCTTTCCTCCAAGTAAACATTAACCAAAAGATCTATTCCAGAATAAAATTAGGTACATATAAAATTTATTACCTTCTCAATTAGAGGTGCTGTTATCAGCAATTGTCGCTTGCTCGATGAGGCGGGCACCGACAAGATGACTCCATGAGAAGAGGGCGGCAATCATGGCTGGAAGTCGAGGGCAGAGATGCTATAGGGTTGCAAGGTGAGGGCGAATGGGCGGCAGTCATGGTGGCAGTGACGAGGTCGTGCCGTTAGCTGCGGGGTTGGAATGGGAAAAGAGGGTGGTGTAGGCATCGAAAATTGCCTATAGGTCTTCACGAACGGTTCAGCGTTAAAGAGCGACGATGAACATCACTATCCGAGCCACAGGAG